TATATATATATATATATATATTCATATTAGTCAAAAGTGCCCATTTCGCCATGCCTCACATTAATAGGTTCACAAGTACCTATTCCTAAACTTGCCTCTCTACTACATTCATCATCATCTACTTATCTTTGTTGTTTGCTTGTTATCCCTCACCAGTTCCAACTTGGCATATGTCTCTAGTCCCTACCATCGACCACCACACTTATCTCCCAGTCCAACATCATTCGATAACACTGCACTGTCGTGTTTGCTGGTGAGCTCATTTGACTACATTATCATACCTAGTATCCAAACTCAAGTTACTTCCTTCACACCCATTTGCATTTAACGGGACATTTGAAGAATTAATGCAATGAAATATTTAGCAAAATCAGCTTCCTTATTTGTAATTTTTTTTTTTTTTTTTACTTTTTCCTATTCCCTATATTATTGATTGTAATTTCAAATTTCATGTATATACCTTTGTACAACCTTAAGACTATAAATAAGAATAGCCTTTTGATTTTGCCAACACGTTGTGATTAATATTCAATTACTTCATTCATTTCTTAAAAGCCCACAATTTCAACACCATGGAATAGAAATTCCCAATTTTGTTGGTAGAAGAAATAGCACGGAATAATCATTCATGGACTTCTTCTATAGAACTATAAATCAACACTCCTTCCAAAAAGTGGAAATTGCGATTTCAAGCTCCACTAAATGAGATTTAATTTTTATTTCCTAATATATTCTCATTTATTTTAGAGCATATTCTTTTCTTTTTTTTTCAACTCAATCTACGTTTCATTTCTTGCAATCAATTTTAAATAATCTAAGTCATTCCTATATTTTTGGGATCAATATACTTTTCATTTCTTTTTATCAATCTACTTCTCATTTCTTGCAATCTATTTTAAATAAATCCTATAATCTAATTTTGTTTTTTACAATTACATATTATTAATTAATTAATGTAAATAAAAAAAATTAAAATAGTGGTCATCCAACTATCCACTATCCCATTTTTGGGGTCAGCTTCCCTGCACCACAATCCGAGATTGACATTGACTACTATACCATACAACAGTTTCACTTGACTTTTTGTCAAGCTGCCAAACTGTGAACTAAGCATGATCATTCCATTCATTCTTATTTTGCAGAATACTCATTTTCTACACCAAATATGGCATAATTCTATGAAACTTAAGTTGATAAAAGCCTAAATCCCCTGCATCCACTCATCAAATAAATTATCCAGCTTAAGGGATTTTTTTATTTCCAGAATAAAAAAATTTGTTGGAAAGCAAATATCATAGCTTTTATAACCAGACCAGATCAGCTGGTTGAAGTGGATCCACAAACTAGTTCACCAACCAGCCCAACATTTGAGCAAAACTGGTCAAGAACTAAGCAAATAGGTACAAAGTCACAGTTTGACTAGTTGAACTGGTTCGATTCAACTAACAAGTCGAAGAGAAAAAAACCTCCTCTCTCAACTAGACACATGTAACTACAACACTAGCTACATTGTGTGTGCGCATTGTGTAAACATTATATAATTTAATACCAATTACCAAGGAAGCCTGGTTTCTATTGAATTTGTAACTTGCATTGTAAGGTTGGCTATGAAGCCTAGATGCTTAGTACGACACGGGTACGATATGACACGGATATGTAGATATGATAAGTTTTTCAAAATTTAGGATACCATACATTTTGGATATGTTAATAAAATTTTATAGAAAAATTTATATACATGTAGAATATTGGTAAAGAAAGAGACATTAATTAATTCTTTCTCATTAATTCATAACTACGATGATTACAATTTACAAAAAATATATTTGTGATCATAACAACAGAAAATACAGTTTTTGCCCATATCAAGTTAACTATATTAATAAAAATATCTTTGGTAGAACTTAAAACCAGTTTTTATCATATACAATGGCTTATGACTCAAAAGCATCATCACTAAATTACTATCTAGTGCTCTTATTGTATCACCCTCTTAGCCTATCCCCCATTACCATCATCTAGGGAAAAAAAAATTTCGATGTTTGGTTTATTAAGAAGACAGCTCTGTCAATTCAAGCAATTTTACCATCATCAAGTGGATGATGTATATCTCTACCAATGTCCCACAACCTAGTCTCTCCTTTTTTATATCCTTCACCTTTCATAGACAAAAGTTGAAGCTTGAAATGCACATAAACCAAATCTTTTACCCTTTTGGTGATATTTATAGTGTGTAAGATATAATTATTTTACATATGTTATGTGTTTGATGCAATTTGATAATATTAGAAATCATTGCATATTTATATGAATATACATGTATATATAAAGCTCTGGATCAAACCCTAAACCATCAACAATTCAATGACACTACTCTAGTTTCGGAAACATTAGAAAAAATACAAATTTTGTTAATATTTAAATTGATCATTGATCCAGACCTGAACTCTTGGCTATCTTCAACAAGTGGTCTACAGTCCTCCCACTTTGAAGACACAGTAATGTCCTGTGGTGAAGTAGATAAAAGACAAGCATAAACAATATTTCTTATTTCCAATCATCATAATATAACAGAACTCAGTAGTCGATGACCACAATACTGCACCTTGGTAGTATATAACAAATGAAAGAAATCATCTGCAAGACGTTTACGCTTCTTAGCTTCCTTCTCCTCTTTCTCCTTCACCCGTTCAAGTAGCTCGTCAAACACTAGCTGCAGGATAGCAAAGCATCAGACCAAGCATGCATGTATATTATAATCCAAACCGAGAATTATTAGAATCAAACTCATAAAAGCTAAACTGTTTTAAGAGGTCATACCTTTTACAGTCACTCTACTAATGAAACAAATATTGAGGACAGTAACTTACTCTTAAAACAAATTCATAAAAGTCAACCATGGATTTGACAGAACAAAAAGAGTAACTCAAGACTGTCCCCAATTATCATAATAACCAGTTTTTCCCAAGTTTTTTATATTAAGAGTGAAAATACTGTCTGTGGGTGATGCATGTTCGTCATATCGGTGTTTTACATTGGTTTGGTTGTTGAAGGCATAACAAGAAATCATGAAAATCCTCACCTTTAACGATACAGTATCACTGTATCATGGGGATATATAGGGGTTTTCACTTTCAAGCCTCATAGGTTCGTGCTCGCAACTACCGTGAATCAGATAATCTCTAACACTAAAGCAGCTACAATAGTCACAACATGAAAACATGATGTAAACAGAAAATGGCAGTGATAGCAGTGCTATAGCACACAATTCACAACCCTACTTTCAAGAATTCCAAAACTCATTTTTAGTGTAGGGAGCTAGCGTCCCATTTCTTTAATAGTAAAACTCAGTCCCTATCTGCATCTATCTATCCATATAAAATTGAATGATCAAGATTACCTCCTCTCACCTAATATACTCCCTACATGTGTACACACACACACAGAGAATGCCTAAATAAAAGCATGTAAAGAAGAAGATATAAACTAAAGTATAACGGGCAAAACTAGAACAAATGAAAAGTTTTAGGCACCATTCATTGTAATAAAAAAAACTTGTAAATAGTATGAGATTTGAGACATGTAAAGAAATTTAATACTGGAATGCATAAAACAGAAGATAAAAATATATATATTCCACCAATTTACCTACCTTTAAGTTGAAATCAGATATTGGTGGAGAACTAATGTCTTTTGATAAAGCTAATTTGAAGTCTTCAACAGTCCAGGTTGACAATAATGTGATCTGAGAAGCAAGATAACATCACATCAATCAGAAAATATTTGTTAAGCAGAAACCACAAATGACTAATTCATCATACCTTAGCCAATTTCACTGCATCTTTTATTCGACTTTTTTCTTCATGATACTGGAATATACAAATACAAAATAAGATTGGCATTTTATAAGAATCACTTTTTATCAATGATAATTTTTTTTTCAGGGAGCATGATGAAAGTACAAGTCCTTGACCCTTTCTAGTCAAGGAACAACCTGTTTTCAGAATAGATAGATGTGTATCGAAGCCTCATTTGAACACAAATTGGTTTTTTACAGCTGTGGGATAACTTAAAATCTTTATGAATGTACATGAAAGTACATCCATATCTTGCAGGATGCATGAAAGTACAAGTCCCCCAGCTCTCAAGTCAAGGAACAACATATTCAATACAGCAAGATATGTATAATGAAATTTTTTATGGCTGAGGGATATCTTTAATCCACATAGATTGATGTAAATCTTTATGGATGTACAAGCTTCTAGCTAAAGATGTTCAGCCTCATGATTTAATGGGAGAGAAATTAAAAGAACCATCAAATAGTATTTTTTATGCCTTAACAATAAATAGATATCTAAATGTGGGAGATATCCTAAAGGACCAAAAACATAGAAATCTTGCCCATGAAAAAACTACTAGACAAAGTTCAAGACCAACCAAAAAGACAATTTAGCATACTCACTTGTTTCTCTAGCTCTTCAGCAACATCTTCAAACAAGTCTTTTGGTGTTGAACCTGAGGTGTTTGATGCAACTGCTATATAAGCATGTAAATCTTTCACCTACAAGACCGCTCAAAACTATATCAACACCATCATCATAATAAAAATTTGAGCCTAGACAACAAATCAGAAACAAGGTAACAACATTATGTAAGTTAGCAGAAAGTTTAAACTTTGCATTTTAGAACACAACAAAAAATAAAAGCTGAATAACCATAAAATGGATAGTTAACCTTTGTATAATAATCACGCCAGTGAGTTTTTGCTGTAAGAATGCCTGAAGCAATATGTTCTTCCATTAATTTGCGGAATTCATCGCGGTTTTTACGTTCTGTCTTTCTCAATTCTTCCTATTTTGATTAAGAACAGATATGATGAGATTATGCAATAAAATAGAGAAAGCAGGGGGTAGATACCTATAGGTCCCTAAAGAAGATGAACATAATAGCACCTTTTGAATCTTCTTCTGCTCTTCCTCTTCCTTTTCTAAATCACGTAAATAATCCTGAAAGGTAAAATGTAAATTATATTGGCAGGAAAATTCAATATTAAAGATGTCAAATTAGATTGGCAGAAAATTTCATTTGAGAATAAGCTAAATACAGATAATTACTTGGAATATTTCCAAGCGGTCAATTTTTTCAAGACGAGAACATCTCTCATCAGCCTCCAAGCGATCTTGAACTTTTCGCCACTGTGTACTGGCCTGTGGAGAAAGTGACAGATGTGTGAATATTATTACAAACATCACAGAAAATCTTTAGAAATTTAATGACCAAATACAACTATTTTACCTTTATAAAATCACAAGATTCCAAAAACTTTTTGTATTCCATTATATTTCGCTTTCGTTCCTCCTGTACCCTTGCTCTTTCCTGATTAAAAAAAAAAAAAAGATATTTACTCAAAGCATTTCAAATGACTAGTAAGTTAAAATGCATTCATCACAGACCAAAAAACAAAACATCACAGTCCCATCTCCAGCAAGAAAGGAAGCTTCAATCTTATCTAAACTCTCAATTCCTTTATTATCCAATTCATAAAGACTTCACCTTCCATAGTATAATTTAGCTAAAGCTGACTCAAAGCAAATTATCATTGAAAAAAAAAAAAGTTTGGATTCACAATAACCAACTTTTGATCACTCCAAAAAAAAAAAAAAAAACCTAAATAACGAAAATGGAAAATAGAAAAACAATTATTTGTGCAGTATAGATTCTACAGACTAACACATTATATATCATCATCGGACAAAGTAAGCATGTGTAAGCTAACACCAACAAATATGGGCATGTATAGGAAACATTCAAATCATGCCAAATGCACACAGGTCCTATAAATGGTTGAAGTATGAGATAGTAGAATGCACCTTGTTCAGAAGTTCCTCCAAGAAGCTTTCAAACATATCCCTGCGATCTCTGTCACGTTCAACAGCCTTGAAACGTTCATCATTTTCAAATATAGATGCTGCTTTACTGAGTGATGTCCAAAAAAATTAACAAAGAATAATTACCTTTGAGTATATCAACTGCATGCAATGTCACAGAAAATTTCATAAAACAAATCAAGATGAATAGCATGAAATAAAAAAAGAAACCTCCATCTAGTGGATGAAGTCAAGTCTGTGGATTCCTGGAACATAATTTAATATATTAGCAAAAAAAAGGTATAAAGGAAACAATATATCACACAGCTATAAAGAAACATGGAAGCACGTAAACATACTTCTAACATTTTTTTAAAATCCTCCCGTGCTTTTTTCTGTTTCGTACGCTTTTCTTCCGCTTCCTGTTTTTTCCTTTGATTTAAGTACTGAAAAGAAAAAAGAGTAACAATGTTATTATTTTATCAACAAAAGTAATCCAGCCATCTTATAAACAGTACTGATTAGGGATATTGGTAAGAATAGAATCTGCCCATCCCATGCAATTAAAAGAGACGTAGAGATCAACCTTGTAGGGATGTGTGACATGAACGAGATTGTCCCCAGTAACCTATTCTCTCTTAATAACAATCATGCATAAATATATTCTTATTATATAGATGAATTAAAATAGTAATTTGATATAAATTTTCCTCTTAAAAAACTTCTGGGAGAATGAGAAGTGTTAGATTGGTCAGAAGAAATAATGGGGATTGTGGACATAAAAGAAAAACCATTCTAGATCAAAATACTCAGACTTGAGCCTAAATAAAAGCAATAAGAGCCCTCTCCAAAGTTATATAATAAGTACCTCATTGAAAGCTTGCTTCCTTTCACCAAGTGTTTTTAAGGCACCATACCTTTTATCATTAATTATTACACGCATGGCCTGAAGCATAGAATGTCCATGTCAAGCAAATCATATAAAAAAGAGAAACACTTAATAAATTGAAATTTTATATATAGGTAAATGACATTAAAATATATATCAATGAAATTACTCTACCCGATCCCAAGTCCAGTCAGATCCAACATTTACAGACTCCAAGAGCGCTTTAAATGCATCTTTAGCCTCCTATTAAGGAAATATGATTAACATTAATGCCCAGGAACATAACAGAGATAGCAATAAAATATTGATATTTTTTTATCATACCATCTTATTTGCATAAACTAGGGATTCTGGCTCAACTGCCTTTGTTTCTGCAGCCACATCATTACTTTTCTCCCCAATTGTATCATTTTTACCATCCTACAAAATTTAAGACTAATCAGCCTGATTAGCACCAGAAACATAACTCATCCAACACAATAAAACAACAATGAGAGAAGCCTACTTCTTTGTCTTCTGCAGGAACTCCATCTGCAGAACCTAGAGTATCTTGAGAAGAATCGTTGTTAGCATCATTCCTACAATATTTACCATACACAATAAAAATTGCATGCCACTAGACAGAAATGAAATAAAGACTAAACAAGAAAGTAGTAAAATAGGCAATACATTGGTGTTCTAGCAGTGTTAATATCAGTAACAACAGCTTTATCACTTCCCACACTAGTATCTGATGGTGTGACAGTATTTACAGGAGCCTCAAGTTCATCCACTTTTGTTCCAGCTATAGGGGTTGCAGATGGAGAAGTAGATGGTCCAGAAGGCATCGCAGACTGTAGATTACTTATACACGTAGTAACAACTGGAGCAACTGAGACAGGACTTGATGGTTCTCCTTGACTGGTTAAAGATGAATTATCTGCATTGGGTGTTGCTTCAGTCACAGAAGGTGTCGGAGAGGGTTGAGTATGAGAATTCAGTAATGCTTCAGGACGTGTTCCACTGACAATTGCTTTTTCAACTTGCTCACGGGCCAACTTGAAGGAAATAATAATTTGCAGAAAAAAAATGAGTTCAAAAATAAATGAGAAAAATAACTAGAAGAGTATTTGAAACAGCATTGTTTTCAATGGTGGAAACCTTCAGTTCCTCAGGAATTGACCACTTAGATTCCTTTGTGACCTTGTTGTAGTAATACCTATGGAATATTCATTAAATAAAATAATTAGAAATGAACATTAAAAATGTAAGGAAGAAAAGGACATTAATGAAACCAAGACTCACTTTCTTCCATCAGGACTAGTATACTCCTTCCAGTTTGTTGATGCATCTACCCTCTAACAAAATAAGAAGAATGCAATGAATAAATCATTTATCAAAGAGATTTCTTTTCAAAAGAAGAATGATTATTATCTCATAATAGAAAATTAGAAATTCAAAACTCATAAAGCAAGAATGTGAATAAAAGAACAATAGTTCCAGGAAATAAACGGGCAAGGTAAAGGATAAAGTTCTAACTAGCCAACTGGCCCAACTCACATCAAGCACTATGACAACTAACCTATTACTCTCCTTAAATTTTTCAAATTTCTAAGAAGCAAAAAGTCAAGTGATATTTTATGGAATTTGTAATTCCTATTACCCAGTCACTTATGCTTCTATGTTATGGAGTTCAGCAAATAAAAACCAATTAAATATTTCCAAAAACAGGTCATCTGAAGATACAGAAATTTTGAAGTCATGTATTTGCTTAGATAGTAATAGTAGCCTGTAAAGACAAATCCTGTGACAAATGTCTCTACATAGTAGAAACTTTTAAATATTTAGTAGTAATGTTGATCGAAGTCAGCTTCCACAATGTTTATTTTTAATTGTCTTATTTTCACAATATTAACAGAAAATCCAGTGAAACAAATCATTTCACAGGCAATTTTGTCAAACTCATCTTGCTAATTACGTTCCTCCCAGTAGAGCATATTTGGTATAGACAGGAGCAATACAGGAGCCGTAGGTAGTGCACATGATTATCTGAATCTTCATTATGCAACTACACCTTACATTTGTTCCAATAGTCCATTAAATAAATACACCTGTATATTTCTTTTACAAATATCATTTACAGTAACCTTTCTGAGATCCTAAAATCAGACACTTCTGTTTTCAATTTCCTACTTGCACAATATTAACAGAAAAATCCAAGTGATCCAAACCATTTCACCAGCAATGTTGTCAAAGTCCATCTTGCTAATCACAATCCTCCCAACAGAGCATATTGTGTATAGACGGGAGTACTAAAGGAGTCATAGGAAGTGCACAAGATGATCTGAATCTTCATTATGTAACTACACCTTACATTCATACCAAAAGTTGATAATAAATGCACCTGATACCTGTAAATTTCTTTTACAAATATTATTTACAGTAATCTATCTAAGAACCTAAAAACAGACACCAGTAAACAGTACATAGAAGAAATAGAAGGCAACCTAACATTGCTGTCACGGCAGAAACCCAAGCTCAATATGGTGTGAGCCAAATTAATAAACAATGAAAAAAATCAACACCCATATTCTAACATTACGGATATTCCACACAAAAATTGGAAGCATTCTATTGGAATTTGGAAAAAAAATAATTGCCTCAGACATTCATTTCAACTATTGTAAGAAACACAATATTTGAAACTGGTAATACAATACAAGTACAAAAATTGTGCAAAGATTTAGAAGCATATGATGCACATTTTATCAAGTGGCAACTAGCTATGCATTCATTGATAAATTGTGACAAAATTCATGAAAAAGGAATTAATGATCAGGACAATAATACGATGATAGAATTTACTAACATTCAAGCAATATAGTAGGTAGAGCAACCAGCAAAGACCCACAGCATATCCTACCTCTCAATAGAGTAGCACGGCATGTACCTGTAAGCACCTTAAAGCTATGGGAGTCACACATGTAGATTTGAGTAAGGTAAAATTAAAAGATATGAAGTCCTAAAGGCATTAAAGAAAACAACTACGAAGTGTTTGGAGTGATACTAACAAAAGGCAACCATCATATGCTCAAAATCTTTACTAAACGAAATTAGCTCAAAATGAATATAGTGGAATGCCTATCTTACTTATAGAGAACCTTGAAAACATTGAATTAGCTTAGTAAAGAGAAATATCTCATTCAAAATCACCTTAGCCTTGTATTCATTGTCGTTAAAATCTCAGATTGGATCACAAGATTTCTCGATCCTATGATTTCTAGAGCTGCTTGCGATTGATGGGAACAACGGGATTGTACAAGTTTGATTATAGAATCATGGATACACATGATCCTATCTTGCAACTGAAGGGGGAAAAAATAAGATTTTGAACAGGACAAAAACTGAATATGATAAAAGAAAAAAAATAGAGACCCACCCAAACCCACTTGGAAAATACCCTACAGCCCTAATCTCATGTTCATCTTGACTTGCCTTTTCTCCTCTTCTATTCTCTGCGACTGATTCTCCCAGCTCAGTCCAGTTTCCCCTCTCTTTCCTTCTTTGTTCTAGTTCTGGTTTCAGGTACTGGTTCTGCTAGTGCTGCTCTGTTCAAAGCTGACTGCCTCTGGGTTTTTTTTCCTGCTGTTTCAGTGCTTTGGTTTGCTGTGTTGACCTGCTCTGTTGTGCTTGAGAACTATATTTTGTTCTTCTGAGTTGTGTTGGTTTTTTGTATTTATCTAGAGTTGGTCTGTCTGGTTTTGTGTATTTTGAGTTTTATGTGTTGGGTTAACAAAGAACTTGTGCCTTTTGCATAGTAGTCAATCCCAGATTGTGGCACGGTGCAATTAGATAACAAGATTGTGGATAACAGGATAACTTCAAATCTAATATTTTTCATTTATATAAGATAATTAATATTTAACATTATACACACACACATATGTAAATGCTTAATAACAGCAAGAGTCGAGTAATATAAAGCCAAAAAAAATACATGAAAGAAAGAAAATAAAACAAAGCATAGATCCCTCTTTCACAAGAACAGAACACACCCCAAATGATGTGAACAATGGGATACCGGAGAACAGTGTTTCAGAGTTTCACATGCACGTTGGTCAGAAACTTTACCAGAGGGTCATTGGTTGGCTGGAAACCCACTGGAGTGCCATGGGTTGGCTGGAAACTCCATTGGAGTACCATGGGTTGGCCAGAAACACGGTTGGGAACTCTGGGTTTGCATTGTAGAGGGAAGAGAGCAGTGTCATTTACCCTTTCGAAATGTGTGTGCGTGCAAAAAAAAAGGTCAAATAAAAGAGGGGTGAAAAGGGGCGAAACAAAGGGGGTTGTATCTAAGCCAGTAGTGGCCACAAATGGCAGTGATATCGTTGCAATTCACCCTGCTACAGGTGTGATGCTAAACTGCAACACAGCCTGCTCTTTATAGAAGAACTTGCCACTCTGGCACTGGAGCACCGCAATCGAGCTGCTACAGAGAGCAATTAACTATTATGGTCTTTTATATTTGGAAATGTTAAGTTGCGAGTTTTGAGTCTATGACTAATAGTTTGTATTGGACTTTTTATGCATTTTCAGTTTAAGTTTACATAAATTTAGTAGAGATTTTAAGCTTATTTTTGTTATTTATGTTTGTTAAATATAGTTTTACTTTTTGGTAGAATCATTTGATCCATGCCATGTTCCCATGATCTATGCCCCCTCATGATCTTAGGTAGGAATTTGATTTTGACAGTAATGATTTGATTGACATTTTATCACAAATAGAAAAGGATAGAATAAGGTGTCTATCATTACCATTCTCCTTGTTTAATGCAACAATATAATCTATATATTATCCATCAATGCATACAAAGTGAAAAGGAAAACAAAAATTATCTACTGCAGAAATCACATTAAAAGTAAAAATATGTGCACACGTAAGAAAAGGGGGAAGAAACAGCACTTTCTTTTCAGAAGCAAACCTCAACAAATAAACATAACCTCTCTAAGTAACAAACATAAGCAACCATGAATGAGAAGTCAACAAATTATTTTTAAATGCCCAACGCAACCACAAAAAAAAAAAAAAAAAAAAAAAAAAAAAAAAAACCACAAAAAAAAAAAAAAAAAAAAAAACCACAAAAAAAAAAAAAAAAAAAAAAACCACAAAAAAAAAAAAAAAAAAAAAAACCACAAAAAAAAAAAAAAAAAAAAAAACCACAAAAAAAAAAAAAAAAAAAAAAACCACAAAAAAAAAAAAAAAAAAAAAAACCACAAAAAAAAAAAAAAAAAAAAAAACCACAAAAAAAAAAAAAAAAAAAAAAACCACAAAAAAAAAAAAAAAAAAAAAAACCACAAAAAAAAAAAAAAAAAAAAAAACCACAAAAAAAAAAAAAAAAAAAAAAACCACAAAAAAAAAAAAAAAAAAAAAAACCACAAAAAAAAAAAAAAAAAAAAAAACCACAAAAAAAAAAAAAAAAAAAAAAACCACAAAAAAAAAAAAAAAAAAAAAAACCACAAAAAAAAAAAAAAAAAAAAAAACCACAAAAAAAAAAAAAAAAAAAAAAAAAAAAAAAAAAATCCTGGAAGAATAAATTGTTTTTAAGAATGGATACAGTAAATAAACTTGGGCACCATTGACTGTCTTTTTTCATTCTTTCTAATTTATAGAACATGATTTTTATTCTAGATTAGAAAAACTGGAATAGAAAATTCTTCAAGAGCATCACCAAGGAAAACAAACAAAACTGATATCAGACAGTCCAACAGGCAATTATCACAACACTGACCTTACAATAAGACGTAAAAGTCAAGATTGATGGTTGCCTGCCTGAGAGAAAATCTGTTCAGTAATGAGTGAGCTAATGGAGCAGAGTATTTTCACCAGACATGGACAAATAGAAAGCACATAACAATTAATCTTGAACATGTTGACTCAGCTAATATCATAATAGACCAAGAGAGATATACACATCATAACTTTTGGCAGAACCAAATAAATAAAAGATCCAGTGGTATGACTAACAAGTCATTTAACAATACGACAATAATTGCATGACTCACCTCAATAGGTGTCATCAATTCAAAAGGCTTCTCCCAGCTAGATACTTTAGTCTTCTTATTGTAATAAAATCTGCAAAATAAATTGAAAACTTATACCATGACACTTGTAGACAATTACTACAGATGCTTTTTGTGCCAGGCAAATATGGATTACTAGGAGAATATAAATTTAACCCAAATCATCAAATGAACGTCCAAAACATTTAACAATTGATGGTAACATCAAACAAGGGGATCGGCGTATATAATGTATACGTATATATGGTAATTTCTCTTATATAATTGGTTCATTGAATTAACATTTTACTTATATAATCTATCCTTTATTTCCCTCCAACTAAACACTATGAAAAGAATATTTCAAGCATAATTATATGTGCCCAAAAGGAATAGCAACATTAATGTTTAATTAAATAGTTGTGTAATCCACACTTTACTCCGTGTTTACTTTTAACCGTAATTCCACATTGAGTAATATGCTTGTTGTATCCAAGGTACTTGAGATTGACTCTGAGGGTGCTCTGGTCTGACTTTGACAAAGGTACGCTCTGTACGACTGAGAATCAAGTTGTATGGACAGTGGTCTTCCTTTTCAGTGAAGCTGAGTTGCGGCATAGGTAGGTTGGGTACTACTTGCAAAAGCACTTCAACACTCAAATAAGCAGAAATTTGGGCATAGTAACGATTAGAAATAAATGTGCTAGTTAGTGGAATACGTGCCATTTCCTGATTGGATGTCAATCCTCAAGCATTGCAGCAATTAAATTGTCATGATTGCAACACAAAAGCCCACAATTGTTGTCATAACTGCTGCAAGGCTTGAGACTGACATCCGATCAAGAAATGGTATGTGTCCCGCTAACTAATGGATTTATTGTTTATCATATCGACTATCATTATTTTTGCTTAACCTCTGTTGACTCAAGCTTTTGAAGTGTCTCTAAGTACCTAACCCATATTTGCCACATCATACTTGCACCAGGAAGGAACTGTCCGTACAACTCAGATCTTGGTCAACAAAAGCCATGCCTCAGTCAAAATCAAACTAGAGTTCGGTTAGAGTCAATCTTGAGTACCTTGGATACAACAATAGATAGTACCAGTATACAATATTTTCTCTTTCACTTAGCAAACAAAAACAGGGCCTTTTTCGACTTTATAGGGACATCTACATGGATCCATTGAACCAACATAATCTTTATAAATTATTTAAAGAATATGCAATATCACTTACTTTCTTCCAGTAGCAGAGGTATGCTCAATCCAATCTGTGGAGCCATTCTTAGAGAGCTGTGGCTGGACAATGGCACCCTGAAAGAGAATTAAGACTGCATAAAATTCTGCTGATACATAAGAGGCAAAACCCTGAATCCATGTTAAGTCAAAAGCAAGTAAGATTCGTACCGAAGATGTGACAGGTGCAACTGGAGGTTGTCCACCATTGCTCTGAAGAGTTGCACCAGTGGTAATGCTGTGGGATGAAGAACCAGTGAGAGCATGTATTTGAGGAACAGGTTGGAATTGGCCGGTAGAATTAAAATTAGTCTGCACTTGACCATAAGTAGATGGTGCAAACTGCATATATGCAATCCTTTAATCAGCATTCGCATATTAGAGTTTTAGGCTTTTAGCTTATCCACTACAACATACAAGCCAGGACTTTACCGTATACGATGAAGAGAGTGGCATTCCCGGACCACCTAAACCTGGTGTGTACCCATTTGGAGCTTGAGAATCAGGCTGAGGCATCATTGATTCTGATGGAATGTGCATGTTTGGACGAGCAACAGGCAATGGAATTGCCTGTGATGGTGGTGGTAACTGTGGGCTAGGTCTCGGGGGCAACTGTTGAATTGGTTGAGTAAATTGGGGCTGTTGATTTTGTGGAGGCATTCCAACACCCATCATAGGAACACCACCATGGCCGACAGGTTGATGTTGGTAATGTTGAGAAGGCATTGACATGAACTGCTGAGACTGCTGAGTAGGAACAACAGGGCGGAACTGCAGAAACAAATAAGTTCCTTCAGAAAAATGAAATTTGACATAAAGCTAGTACGATCACAGCTAAAAAGAAAGTGGCATTACTTGAACAGGCATAGGTGGAACAAAATTGCGAGGAGGATCCACTGAACCAGCAATAGGAGGCCGAAGAGGCTTTCATAACAAAAAGAAAAGGTTCAATGACTAGACTATATAGCTCGGAAATGGAGAACAAAAATTCGTTTATTTACATCAAGCTCTCGCGAAGCTCATTCAAGACTTACTCGACCTATAACTCAAATGAAAATTAAAGCGGCATTAAAATAAAAGTGGCAGAGGAAAGCCAAAATTTTCTAGTTCTAGATACAGTACCTGTAAACCTGGATATTGCGGATTGTTTGACATCTGAGCAGAAAACCCTCCACAGACTAATCCAATCAAAACAGTGTAGAGCTATCAGTATCTTAGAAACCCCAGAGATAACACCATGAAATAAATTTCACTAGTTTTGGGTGCCCGTATATTGGAATTAAAAACGAACAAAGAAACAGGAACCCTAAACAATGTGCCTAAAACTTGACCCGACAAATAAGTTCTATAGAGCCGAGGTTGAATATTTTTCGACCCCGGTTAAAGAAAATTAGGTTGCAAGAATAAACGAGGGTGCCATAAAGTGAAGGGTCAGAGAATAATTGAGGAAAACATGGTGTAGAAGAAGAAATGAAGCATACATACATACCAATAAATGCGAGGTTGATGGAGCCTGCGATTGAGTGCTGAATGTAACGGTGTGGGAGGGATTTTACAGTGAGCGATATAAGAAGAGGAGACAAGACAAGAGGACTGGGCTGTTACCTTGGTAAGTGTCCCCCTCTTTATATCTTCTTAATTCTCCCAAACCAATTACCTTTCTCTCTTCATTTATATTCTGCCTTTTATTGTTCTTTTTGGGCCTCGTTTCCGAACACATAATTAGGAGTCAAATGGCTCATGGGCCACCCATCCTCTCATAATCTATACCTATCAGTATTATATTTCTCATTTGTTATACTAGATTACTAGTTGTAAAAAGGTTTATGATTGAATAATTATTTTTGGCTTATAATTATATTATTTATTTATTAAAATTAATTAATTAATTAATTATTCTTATTTTTTAAGTAACCACCAATACTATCATTCAATTTATCTCTTTTTTTTATTTATAATTTTTTAAAATTTAAAGATACAAATTGTCTTTTTTCTTATTAATTTTAATAATTAAGCTTGATTATTTTTTATTTTAATTTTAAAAATTAATATTTTTTAAATTAAATTGTATTTATGTTTAAATTAATAAAATATGTCTTTTATTTTCTTTTACTTAAAACTTTTAAATTTACATTTTCCATTTCAAATATTTAGAAATAAATTAAATTAAATTGTTTTACGTTCAAAATTCATTAATTAAAATATTAAATTTCACTTAAAAAAACTCAAAGTTCCCCTTCTGTAAATCCTAACCCCGTGTCTTGTAAAATTCTTGCCTTATAAACTCCTGTCTTTATATCTATAAGTATGATGTTTAATAATATTATTAATAATTTTTATTTTTAAATATATTATCCTATTAACTTATAGTCTTAGATTTGTCATTGAATGTAGGCACAATGAACAATTTTGGAATTTAGTAAGTTGTAAAATCTAATAATATAAACTATAGTTTTCTTTCTTTTAAATGTTGTTATGTAATTATTATTATTATCTTTTGAAAAAGAAAAAAAAAACAATTACATGTGATTTGTAATATATTTTGCTTTAGTGGTATTTTTTATCCATATCCTTGGATGTTCGTATAATAGGTTGTCATTTATATTATAAAAATAATGAAAGAAATGTGAAATGATAGAAATAAAATGGATTGTATTAAACTAATAGTGGTAGTGATAGAGAAGTGCTGTAACTAAAAAAAATAATACATGAAATATTAATCTTAAAATAGACATTAACACATATACTATTGGAATTTATCATTTGTATAGGTGATATTTTAGTTAAAAAAAATATCATTTATTAGTTTATCCTCCAACTAATATAATTTATTAAATAATAATATTTTAAAAAATATATATCAAATATGAAAAGATAAATTAAAAAAAATAGTTAGCAGTCTAAATCAATCCAAAATCATAAAGTAGAAAATTGAAATTGAGTTGAGTCAAATCAAAATAAATTAAAATAATCAAACTTTAATTTTTATAATTAACTCAACTCATACATTGATATAATCTTATTGAGCTTAACCTATTTTAAGATCTTCGTATATTGTCCCCTAAATTAAGGTTTAAAAATTGGTAAAAAAAATGCACCCTTCATTTAAATTTATATGCAAAAGTAAATAAATAAAATATTGTCTTATACAATCATGTTAAAACATTTACACTCGTTACAAAACATCTTGGTAAAGATATTGCAATGATAAAGAAATCCAATGACAATAATGAGGGTGAAAAAAATGGTGTAAGTTGCATATATAATAGTTGGTAGTGTGTAACGTACTCATAGTGAATAAGGGCTTCTTGAAGTTGAAGACATTTGATGAGATCCTAATCATTGAGTTTGGGTTAATAAAAGGTCATGAATGTCATGAAGAAGAGGAATAAGAAATCAAGAACAAAGAAAGTACAAGTAAGATAATCCATTATAAATAGCCCATTCAAATTGTGATATAGTTTTGTCTTCTCATCTTATTTCACTGTGAATTTTTATTTTTCTTCTTCTTTTCATTTATTATTGTTTCGGCCACAAAGTTGATATTGTTGCTAAAGCACTCAAGATACCTTTTTTTTATTCTCACCCCTTGCTCTAGTTTTCTTTTTAACATTTTTTGGGGGCATTCCCTTTATTTTAACCTAAATATTTGTCAGTCTATTGTTTTATTAGCTTGTATCTCTATCATGATTGACACACTTTTTTTTTGTTATCCCCATTATCTTTTGGTTAGCATATATCAAACATATTTGTTACTTCTTATCTTATAAAGTAGTAAGCAGTTCAATTTTTTTCTCGCGATTTAATTAAATTATGTTATGGGCTAAGTAAGTAGATCGGATTTTCATTGTTATAAGCCTAGTTGACATTTTGTGATAAAAATGATTGATCAGGTATAGACATAAAGGACATATTAGACAATCTCTTAATTATAGTAAGGTCAACTACAAACCTACGAGGGAGCACATAGTCGGTTGGTCACAAGCCTATGAGGGTACACAACCCCCTAATATTGAGTATGCAAGATGAAAAGACTATCTAAATAATAGCCTTTTGTGATAGCTTAGGCTACCTACAATTAACCATTAGCTCGACTTATAATTCTTAAAATAATGTTCGGTTAACTAAAGACCTACGAGATATCAATAAGGCAAATTATAACCTACAAGGGCCTATATAGTTGGTTAACCCTAAGTATACGAGAGTACAATTCTTAATTGTGTTGATTAAGGTCCAATATAGACAAATCATTATTTGCCATTCAAATTAGAATTGCATAAGATATCCCCGAGTGATAGTTGGAAATTAATTTATTTTGAGGTGTAAAAAATTTTCAAAGTAAAATTTGTTTGTTTGAACAATATTTATTCTATACATATGTTAAAAATCAAAACCCTAAAACATGTTTTTAAAACTCTATTATTTACTAACTTTGTCAAATCTTGTTGTCTTTTATTTGAAGAAAAATTATACAAAATTGTTCTGTATAATGCAACTAGAAGAAATTCCTATCAAATAAAAAAAATATTTTATACAAAATAAATGTAAAATAATAATAAGATTAAATTATCTTGCGATTATTTTTTTTAGTCCCTATAATTTTACTTATTTTATTTTTTAAACCCTATACTTTAAAATAAGCATTTTTAGTTTTTATAATTATTTTTTTTGATCTTTACAAAATGAATACATTTATCACGTTAATGTAAAATAAACAATGTAAAAAAAATAATAGAAAGTAAAAATAAAATAAAAAATATAAGTATAAAAATTAAAAATATTTATCTTAAATTATAAAAGATAAAAAATAATTAAAAAAATAAATATAAAGACTAAAAATATATATTTTGAACTATAAAGAATAAAAGGTAAAATAACTAAAAATATAAAGACTAAAAAAAGCATCTTAATTTTATCTTATTTAAAAAAATAACATTTATATATTTGTAAATTAAATTGTTGGCTCAAACATGTTTATTTATGACAATAAAAAACACTTTTATTCTATACTTAAAAAATTGTCATTTTTTTTCAAAAAAACTATATTGTCATTTATTATTTAATTTTTTATTTAATAATCAAGAGAAAAAAAATATTTTGTGTCTATGAATATTTTTAAAAATTAAATAAGCAAAAAATAATATAATAATATGAACATTTATTTATAATTATTTAATACCAGGTATTAAAATTATTTATTTATTCTTAAATAATTAAAGATATAATAATTACAAATTATAAAAAATAAAAATAAAAATAGTTTAAAAAAGTATCTTTTTAAAATAATCAAAGATATATAATCATTACAAATTATAAAATTAAAAATAATTATAAAAATAAAAAGGATAGTTAAAAAAGAAGTATTTTCCATATAAAAGGGCAGAAGGTCGTTTCGTTTGTCATGTATTTCGTGTTTATTAAGTCTTGAGGCTCCCAGAATGGTGCAAGTCGGTTAAACTTAAAGATAAAAGAACTGAGGCATCGTTTCACGACACACAAAACCTTCCTCGCTTTTCCCATCCATCAAGAGAGACACAATGAAGCTGAGACTCAGATCTTTGGAATCCAAAGAAACCATTAAAATACAAGTCCCTGATTCCTGTTCTCTGCAGCAACTCAAAGACACCATTTCTCACACCATCTCTTCTTCCTCTTCTCTGCATCTCTCCCTCAACACAAAGGACGAGATTCGCGCCTCTTCGCCCGACCAGCCCCTCCACTCCCTCGGCTTCATCACCGGGGACCTCGTCTTCTACTCTCTTAACCCCACCGCCTTCTCCCCCGAAACCCTAGCCCACAAGCCAGAAACCACTTCCCGCCACGGACCCACCATCCAAGCCTTGCCGGAGAGCCTTGATGACGACGCACCTTCGATTCCCACCACGGAAAAGCCTCCAACTTTGGATGATGCGGAAGCGGATACCGTCGACACGATTGATGGGTCTAACGAGGCGGTGGTGGTGAGTACTAATTCGGAGCCTTTCTTTGTGAGAAGGGTTCTAAAAGAAGCGCTTGGAAACAACGTTAGTGATTTCAAGTTGTTAGTGTTCACTGTCCATGGTATTGTTCTTGAGTCTGGGTTTGTTCGAGTCGATCTTGATTCGGTTATGGATGTTGGTTGTTCTCACATGCTTGAGGATCCTCCTTCAGTGTTTTCTTCTGTGGTATCTTTGAGGTATACCCTGCCTGAGATTCTGACTAATGGTGCTTCACATAGTGTGAATATTAAATTTCAAACATTGGGGCATTTTGTGAACGTGTGTGGATCTTTGTCTGATGATGTTGGGTCGAGGTTGCATTGTGTTTGTTTGGATAAACGTAAATGTGTTAGGCCTTTAGAGTTGATGCTGGCAAATTGTGAATCTAAAGGTAGCGTTAATGACAGTGGAGATTTTCAGTTTGGAAATGAAGTTTTTGAAATGTGGAAGATGGTGAAAGATAGGCTTGCGTTGCCGTTGTTAATTGATCTTTGTGAGAAGGCTGGTTTGGATCTTCCACCTTGTTTCATGCGGCTACCAATGGAGCTTAAGCTCATGATTTTAGAGCGTCTTCCCGGAGTTGATTTGGCCAAAGTGGCTTGCACCTGCTCGGAATTGCGATACTTGTCCACCAACAATGAATTGTGGAAGAAGAAATATGAGGAGGAGTTTGGAGAAGTGGGAGAGAGCAGAGGGCGCATTTTCAAGGATTTGTTTGCTTTATCCTGGAAAACAAATAAGAGGTGGCAAGGGATTTCTTATCGTGGTTTTTCAAGACCCTGTATTCCCCCACCCAACCCTTTTCGAATTCCTCCATTTTGGGGTGGAGGATATGGTATGCAGCCAGTAGCATTCCCTAAACCCCCACCAAGGCGGTTTGTCATTCCCCCGTGTGTTCTTAGAGAATTCAATCAATAACCTGGCGACTTGAATTCTCCTTATTAAGTGATGTGTAGTGTTCGGCCCAATCCTTGGTATGGAAAATACATTGCTAGAGCGAATGCATCATAGATGACTGGTTGTCAATGAATTATGTTTGAGCATTGATTCTAGACCCTTTTTTTAAGTTAGTATTGTGAATTTTGTGACAATTTTACTTGTTTAGTCTTTTGGTTATACATTTTGAATAAGATGATAGATTCCAAATATGTTGTCAGGACACAGTTGTTCTTCAATCTCTATGCATTGCCTTTGGTTCACATCTTCCCATTTATGCCAAGGGAAAACCAAAAATGTATGAACCTCTTGTTTTTTGTTTATATTTTGCAATATTAGTGTAGTGTAGTATGTAACTTTGTTGACTTGAAGGGATTTGGATCATTGTGATTACTTACCAAGTACTGACATAGCCCATTGACCTTATGACAATGGTATGAATGCCTTAAAGAACAATCTTGCTTACGCATGATTCCTCCCGTTGGAAAACATTGGCACGCGCACATCTTTGATGAAAATTCTCTCCTGCATGTTTTTGTCTCCAGCACATTTGAAACTATTGGATTAATCTAACCGTCGAGGTAAAAGTTGCCAATTTTTTAGGACAAAATTCCCTCCAGCATATTTGTACACCCTTGATTGGATCAATCTAATGGTCAAACATTAAAACTCAACTCTTCTTTCCCTGTTGTGCACTGCTTCCCCCGTCGCCGGAACAACTTGACCAGTGTATGTGCCAACGGGTGTGAGGTCCAAAAACTTGAATTCTATTTTTATGCAGATTATTACCATCCATTTGGTCTGTGTCTGTTTTCCCTTCGGTTTTTCATTTCCTTTTCTCGTTAAAAATTTTCAATTTCGTTTTATTTTATTCTTAAGAATTGAAATTTGCAGATAGCTCATTTGGCGATTCAAAGGCCATTGTGTGCTTTTGAAAAACATCTAAGTGATGTTTTTTTAGCATGCAAGTCATAGTACTTGATGATTGCTTACTTGTATAATGCTTTGCATTTGACTGAGTTCTAATATTTAAGTCATTCTAAAAACTATGAAATACATAACTTAGTGATAGGAATGCAAATAGCTTAGGTGAAATTTTGAATATATAAGTTTGATTAAAGTTCAGCCTATTATTTATCATAGGTTTTTTATAAGTCTAGTCTTAAAAAGTCTGATATATTAATCTATTTAAATTATTAATATTAACTAGGTTAATGAACTTAATTTTTAAAAATTAATAAATATTTTTAAAATATTTTTTATTCAGTATTATTAAAATTTAAATTTAAAAAAAAAAATAAGAGAAAAATTGAATATTTTTTT